TGAATCGATATTTTTACTTTCATGATAAATTTTATACACTTGGCTCTAGACTAGGTGATCCCACACTACGTCTTTACTTTAGGCTTATTATACCAGCAGTCACTACACTTACAAGGTTTCATGGCACCCCCGTCACTAAAATCGTAATGGGCAGACAGCAATCGAACTCTTCTATCTGGATAAATGCATTTTGGTGTTTATGACTTCTGCTATTTCAAGAAATCAAGATAAATCTAGCGTGACATGACGTGACACACAGGCTTTTATAGATGTATAGATAGCAGTATCTCTCTTTATTTTGTTAGAAACACTGACAATATATAACTCTGTGGTTAGAAGTAAATCCATCTTAGCACGTTGTAAATATAGTGCTACTGTGTGAGTACAAAGTTGAGATATACTAGAAACAAGACGTCAGGCCGGACTGTGACACTAAAACACTGTAAATCTACACCGAAATATAACTTGTAGAGTGGTGAAAAATTGCAGAAGGGACTCAGGAGATGAGTGGAATTGGACTGGAACTGAAGTCAACAAAGAGATCAGAAGGGGTATAGTCTGTAGTTCAATTTCGCGCAAATCTTCTTGAGGGCAACCTGTGCTAGCACCTAGTTTTGAAGTGTTAGACAAGAGGAAAGAAAGCTAGTGAGCACTACTCACCACCAACCCTTAGACTACACTTTACAAACTAATAGTGAGATTTACTGTGACATTACAATCCCCTATCGGCTGAAATGGCGAACATATTCGGTGACAGGTTTCGATCCCCCGACCCACAAACTATGAGTCGAACGCCCTAAAGGCCAGAAAGCTATAAATTAAGGGGGGTTATATATTATAGAAAAGCTCGTACAGAAATAATTTTAATGCATTTTTGATGGCACTGTTATTTGATATATCTTTTATGGCACTGTTATTTTATATAGCTTTTGTGGTACTGTTATTTGATATGTCTTTTATGGCACTGTTATTTCATATATCTTTTGTGGTACTGTTATTGGATATATCTCTTAGGGCACTGTTATTTCATACATCTTTTGTGGTACTGTTATTTTATATATCTTTTGTGCTACTGTTATTTTATATATCTTTTATGACACTGTTATTTTATACATCTTTTGTGGTACTGTTCTTTGATATATCTTTTATGGCACTGTTATTTTATATATCTTTTGTGGTACTGTTATTTGATATATCTTTTGTGATACTGTTACTTGATATGTCTTTTATGGCACTGTTATTTTATATATCTTTTGTGGTACTGTTATTTTATATATCTTTTATGGTACTGTTATTTGATATGTCTTTTGTGGTACTGTTATTTGATATATCTTTTATGGCACTGTCATTTTATATATCTTTTGTGGTACTGTTATTTGATATATCTTTTATGGCACTGTTATTTTATATATCTTTTATGGCACTGTTATTTTATATATCTTTTGTGGTACTGTTATTTGATATATCTTTTATGGCAATGTCATTTTATATATCTTTTATGGCACTGTTATTTTATATATCT